AGTATTTCCAGTTGCCAAGCCCTGATCAGTCCTACAACAGGATGAAAGCTTGGCCGAACACAGTGGCAGCTTGAAAAGTCCTGCGTGGAGGCCTGGGCTTGAGTGACCTCCGAACAAGTTGAGTTGAGTTGTTTATTCGAGTTGCTCTGAATTCCTGGTTGAAAGCTGCTGTGCATCTTCTGGAGGTCTGAAATGGAATTCTGCCTGCCGACTCCATTTGGTATGAAAAAGGAAATGTACATGAACAGCTTCCAGTGGATGGGCGGCAGGCCTGTGTCCTGGACTCTCCTCCGAAAACAAAAACGACCTGAACTTCAGGCCCTAAAACCCCTCAACACTAGACCAACATGTGTTTCTAATCGCAGCTCAGGTTCTGGCAACGCCAAACGACAGCGTGGCTCCTGCGCCTCACAGCATGTTAAAAAAGTACATGGGTCACCAGACGTCGATCCCCCCATAAGTCGTTGATACGCACACCCTATGCAAACGATAGACTTGACAACCAAAGCGGGAAGAACGGATCCATGACTTCGAAGCCCGAGCATCAACAGAGTTGTCAAATCTTTCGTTCTGACCTGGCGTCTGAAACATCCATCCTATCTTATCCTATCGATAAGGATCTCAAGAACCCTAGTACCAACAGATTTCAGCTCCAGACGCCTGTACCTAGATCAGCTTGCAAACCTGCTACTCGCACGCCTCCGCACAGTTGGAGGTGAACAGGACCTTAGAAGATCACCGCTGCCACAGCAAAATTCCCTCAACGACACCGTTGTTACGAACCCGCTGAACTTCCTCTAATGGAATGAAATAATTCCTTTTGATGTGAGCAAATGATGCCCAGGTTTCGACATGACCTAAACATACTGAATAAGCCTTCCAAGTCCCTAGGATTACAGGGCACTGAGCAAGAGTTAAGAAGAACTACTGAAAAGCCGAGATCCACACACACCACTTGCGACCACACAAACGTTCCACACACAGCAAGGAAATCACTTGCGGTCAGGGGTTAAGTTTTTGTTGTTTTTCGGTTTAGGCGGGGCTTCAGAGTTTTTTGCAGTTCAAAGCTTTTAGGGTTTGAGGCTTTCTTGTGTTTTTTGGATCTCGGGTTTAGGGTTTAGGGCTTTCGGGCTTGAAGGGTTTCGGGAACTGCGGCTTTTTAGAGTTCAGGGAGTTTTATAAAGTCTTAGGATTCGAGGTTTTCAGAGTTTAGGCTTTTGGGCCTTTGTCTTTCTAGGAGGCTTTCTAGGGTTCAGGGTTTTAGGGTCTGGGGTGTTTAGGGTTCCAGGGTTTAACGTTGTTAGTAAAGGGTTTTGGCACTTGAGAATTCAGTTTTTGTTATTGACGCCCCTTTTACCCGCAATGCTGGCAAAGGCCTTTAGCCGGGCTGGTCCCGAATTCGGTGTTTTCATGGTTGAAGGTCGTCAGGGTACAAAGGCGTTGTATTTCGAGTCTTGGCTTTCTAGAGGTTCCAGCGCTTCCAAGGTACACAGCGGCCACAGAAATGATCTCCGTCACAAGCTGCTGCTCTACTGTACTACTTCCTTTGCTTCCTCCACCCATAATTTACAACTGCCAGCTCTGAAAGCGTCAGACTGAAAAAGCGCATATGAGCCATGATCTAAACTCCTAGTATCCCCCTTTAAAAACCCCTATAGTAGTCCTCCCACCCCCCTTTAAGGAGTTTACACTATAGCTCCTTTGCTGTGATGGCGTGTTGCAGCGCCAGCAAACCGACCCGCACAATCAAGCAGGCATGATCCTCCCAATGAGGTCCCTGCCTGAAAATGATCACAAGCCGCTGCAAGGACCAGGCGATGTGCCTTGGAAGAGCGTCAAAGCTGTAGGGTTTTCAGGTTTCATGACCTCTGGAGGGAATGGGTTGTATCTTGGTGGCGAGGCTCAGCAATCGTCGCTCTGACCTTACAATTTGATGGATTCTGGGTACTTCTTGGCAGGATCTCTCACAAGTATGCTGACCCCTTCCTAACAAAGCCTGTAGTCTTTCTTATGGTCAATCGCGGGTCACCGCTTGTGCCATGCAAAAATACTACTATTGTGGCGCCAGATTCCTTGTACAATTGCGGTAATTATACGCTACCTCAAATAGACCTCAAGATGAAGATGGCCATAACTCTTATCCCCACTTCATTCTCCCATTGTGTCTTTCATTTGAGGCTGAGTTAGTGGAGGAGGGCGCACCCTTCAACCCTAGGTGAGCTTATACCTAAACCTTAGATTAGACTGATGACCTCGAAGTTATACGCTCCTGAACACCTCGGGCGCGGGCGTAAATCTCTTTCAGGCCAGTCTCCGCCTGACACGTTTTGCTTTTCAAAATATCTATATATATATATATATCTTCACACGCACACTATGATACATAATGTATTACAATGTGTATACGCGTTTAGGTAGGCATCTGTAAGTGCGACATGTATTAGTATATGGACTGTTGTTATATGTCTTAAATGTACATGTTAAGTGGCTACATGCACCGTATGGGATTCGGCATAGGCAACATGGCAGATTCATCAGAAGCTCCGTAGCTCTCACTTGCATGGTGTTCGCTGGTTGACTTTTTGAGAGGTAGCCGCCTCAAGGACGAAGATGACGTCGGCAAGCTCTGGCTTGTTCAGGGAGGTCCTGCAGCAGCTAGGTCGTCAAAGAGAGAAAGAGAGAGAGAGACAGACAGACAGACAGACAGACAGACAGACAGACAGACTTCTGCAGAGAGAAACGAGCATCTGTTGCAGCTATCAAAATGTGAGGATCGAGCCATTCGATCCCTGACTGTTGTCTTGGTTGCAAATATGCCAACTGCTCTTTGCACTCCTAAGCACCACTTGCAGAAGGGCATGCCCCTTCAAACCCTACCCCTTACTCCAGCACACTCGACGCCACAAAGGTTGAGCGTGGCGGCATCGTGGCTGCCAGTTTCTTTTCCACTCCCCCTGAGGCACCGTAAACCCCAAGACACTTTAGATTTTTGTTCAACCTGCAGGATTCAGTAGCCCCTGGTCTTGATGAACGCCGGCACAATTGATGCGGTTGGCGCAGGTGGCACATGGATCTGCGGAAGCTGCCTTGGTTTGAGGGTTTGGGTCCTTCGGAACATCAGAATGGCAACGGACGGGCCAAAAACCCTGGGAAGGGCCATAAATAGCATGCCCGATGTGTCAAGAATCTGGAAACGACTCTAAAGCAAAATAAGCACTCCTTGTCTTGGGAAGCTTGTACTGAGCTAGTTACTTAATAGGCATTCTCAAGGGTATAACTCAACCTACAAACCATACATCATGCCACTATGCATTGCGATTTGTTTGTGCGCAAGTGCAAGGAAAGCCAAATTGCGAACAGCCAAACCACAAGAGTTCTACCCACTGAAAGCCACGCAGCCGCTTCAAATGAACTGCAGGTCCAGCAACGCCTGGAGGCATTGAAAAATGCAAATTCAGCTTCGGCATGACAGCATCAAAAACCTATAAATCATACCATGCGTGGTCTGCTTGCTTGTCTCATGTGAGAGCCCGAGGTGCGCTTTGTAATCTCCTGGCAACCTTGCATCACAACCATCAAAGAACCACTACGTGCCAATCTACAAGTCCACCGAGAATTCCCTCCACTGCATTCCATGAATACTTACTGGTGTTTAGCAGAGAAGACATGAAGATAATCCCATTTCTATCCCTGTTTTCTACATTCCTCATTTCCTATTAACCCCAACGCTACAAAGTAGTCTCCATTTTCTTGTCCCTTATCCCTAAAAACCCTGTATGACCCTCAAAAAACCCTTTATTCCCTACCAACCCCCAGCAAGCAGAAGGCCCTGGATGGGAAGTGGCGGTTCTGTCCACCAGGCAGACCCCGGCAGGCCTAACAGCAGGCGCCGGAAGGGGCGCATGTAGCCTCCAGTGGCGGATTTCTTGCGAAGAGCTCTCATCTTCAAATAAACACAGACCCTTGTGATATACCCCAGAAACCACAAAATCACATGGAATCAGAGACCACCAAAAAAGGATTACATGTGGATAAACACTCATGTTCCAGGCCTGCCCGTGCCTAACATCTCAAAGCCACGTGTCAAAACCATGAAGAACAGCAAGCAAAAGTTGAGCTGTGAGATACAACGGTTTCCAAAAAGTACACAATGTCTTATTGAATAATGTCGACCCCCAACTTGGAAGTACCATCAAGACTACTCAGCCATTGCAAATTACTGGTGATGTTGTGCAGCAAAAAACCATTGCTGGATTTCTTTGCTTAACATGTTCTGTCCAGAGCAGAATGGCAAGTGCCAACGGGCTGATTCTGAACTCACACGATTCAATCCCGGGCTGCCAGACAAGGACGCCCCAATATGGTCCCGTGACATGAGTAGCAAAATGATTGCAGGATGAACGTCTCTCTGCAAGTATCCGCACGCCTGGATGATTAGAATTGCCCAGGAAGCATCGGCACCTCCTGTTTAACAAATCTCTTCAACGTCACTCCCGATGCTACATCCGCAACTCCCCCCCTGAATCACTGTGTCACTCAAATCAAAGGAGCACAACGAAGTCTTTGGCAACCCTTGGGCAGTGCTGAACATTCGCCCGGCCTGGCAAGCTCCAGGAACCTTGCGTTCGACGCTTGCGTGCCGGATAGCCCTTGCAGCTGAGGCTGAGCAAAGAAATCGTTTGGAACACACACCAGGAGGACTGGGCAAGATCTCGGAGCCCACCCTGCAGAGCCTCAATCTTGCGACATGCGCCAAAGCACAAAATTACGGAGTCATATGCACAATTTTTGACAACAAGCAGGATCTTCCACCGGCATTCTGAAGGCATGGACGCGTTGCATGGAATCCGATTTCCTGGTGGCGGCGTAGACTCGCACAAATGGTTTCTAAAGCATCGGACAGCCACAAACTGCAACCTCCAAGATAATCCAAGAAATCAATGTTTTCGCCGACACGAAACCCTGTTTGCGCTGCCCATCACAAAACGAGCAGTCCCTGACAGACTGAACATGTTACCCAATGAATACTTGCTGGTTGTCATAAAGTTGGGATAATAAATCAATCTGGATGCGTTTCAAAAAGGACACCTGTAGAATCCTTGACAGGTACCCGCATGACCCGTACATGTCCCCAGGCTTTCTTAGAATACCCTTGTTTCAAGAAACAAGAATTGGTGCCTGACCCTCGTCATCTGACGCATCTGCACCTGTGGGTTGCAAGGGGTAGCGGAGATGTTACACCTTGAGCCCAAAACCCTTAAGCAGTGTATGTCTTCAACACCAGCACCCCTTGCTGGCCCACACGGCAAATATGTAAGTCTTGGGTTTGCTTCAGGGGCTTGAGGTTGCAGAGTTTGGTTTTCAGGGCTCTGAAACAAACTTGTTCAAGAGACCTCAGCAAGAATGACGAGGCAAAAGCCAAAAGCTTCCTTTGGGCAATTCTTGGAAACAAAAACTTACTTCACTCGAAACCCATGCGCTTGTGCTGCTTCCATGGTGTGCTCCTGAAGTAGGATTCCGGATGCAGGGCTGGAGATTCAGAGCTTTGGGTTCTGAAGGTGTTTGCTGTTTAGGGCAAAGAGGTTATGGTTTAGACCTCAAGGGATTCCTGGTTAAGGCTGGACTTTGCCTTTCCCTCAGGTTTTGGCAGCAACTATACACAACACAGGAAAGTGATGGCTAATTTGCAGCTTCTTTCTTAGTGCCCAGCTCGTGCGGAAGAAACTTAACCTTCAGAGGTTTTGCGCCTCGTGGAGCTTGAGAAGTTAAGAGGGCCGGGCGATTGTGAACAGAGGAAAAAGACATCGTTCTGACCTAAGATGCACCCTCCCAAGCACCGCAGAAAGTGTAGCAGTATTGACTCGGAGCTGACCCAGGCCTTCATGAAGAGCAGTGAAAACACTGCATGGGCTTGCCAGCACACCATCGTCCAGGACCTGACAACCGGCAACACATCACACCATAATTAGTGACCATGCACATTTTTTTACTGCAAGCTCTGTCTGGTGACAATCTGCTTTCAACCAAGGCCCCCCAACAATGTTGCCCGATTTCCAACAACAGGGTTAGGTTGCTACTACACTTTGATTGCTTGACTGCGATTCGATGAAGATTGTTGCGTGCTTAAGCCATCAGGCCAAGACGCCAGGAAGTTCACGTTGCTCAACTGATGCTGCACCTGAGTCCAAGCCATCAAGCATGTTCAGCTAGCGTTCTCGCATCCCAGGGACCATCAACAATTTCCACAAAAAGCTTCAGATCGGCCTGCATGTCTTACCATGTTTTGTCGATGCATAATGTTAGATGCTCACGAGGACACCTTGAGGATGCGAAGCTAAAAGGTTCGTCCCAGAACCTTCTGGAACATCAACCTCTGCCACTTCTGTTAGGGGCCGTTCCATCGGCTAGCTTCAAAAAAGACTCGTGAGTGCGCGGACAAAGATGCTAGAAGAACATATAGCAAGCCAAGAGAAGCTTGTTGACCCCAGGCTGAACGTCCCTCGAAAACAACTTTGGAAGAGGTACCATGATCTGGGTTGCGTGGCTGCGCTTGTGCAGCATTGGCTGAAAAGCTTTCAGGTGCTGCACGACGACCTCATCCATGCTCTCTTGGAACAGCACGCTTTGCTAACTTGCTCAAAGAATTTACCCGAAATGACGTGAGGAGGTTGGCATATTAGGCGCTCTGATCTCTCAAGGCCTGCAACCACAGGTCAGCTCCGCAGCAGGGTCAAAGCACCATCCACTACGCAAGAATGGAACCCTTCAGAATTGTTGTGTGTGATGCTGGGGATTTTTTTTCCCTCCCGCTTGGCTCGAAGCATGCTGGGGATTTGGGGTGAAGGGCATTCTTTCCAATGCAATAACTAACACGCAGTGTCAAGCATCTTGCCTGCTGTCGATGCTGGATGGTCTCCCGACGTAACTCTGCGTGAGCCTCTGGGGGTAGAGTCTCCTGCGACCACCTGGCTTTGCTACCCAAAACGCTGAGGTGAGATTGGATGGCTGAATCATGTTGAGCATGCGAAACAGGCTCACCTCCGCGCGATCTCCGCAAGGTTCGCCACAACCACTTCAAGCGAGGGGGGATCCTCTGCAAACCGAGCGAGAACAATGCTAAGTTCGGAGAACCTATCATTCTTTCTGAGCACTCGTTGGACCGTCCTGCAGGCAACCAAAGCGTTGCAGAAGCGCTTTGGGCCATGAGCTGAAGGTCTGGGGATCCAGCAGAGCCAACTGTGTCCACGCGAGCGGTGCATGCTCGAAAAGTGTGCACGGCGTGTCTAGCGACACGCAATCGCGGTTCTGGGGCGCCTCGCTGGGTGGCCGAGTCCCAGCGCGAGACGAAGCAGGCAAGGCTGGGAAAATTCTTAGGCGGCTCAGTGAGGAGTAGGTCTGGCTTTGCCACTTCAGGCCATGGAATCTCTTCACCAGCTGCGCTAGCAACGTTGAAGTTAGCTCTGCAGTGCCAGGACCTCCGTTTTGTGCCAATGCCTCCACACACAAAGCCCTACGAGCTTTGGGGCAACTTTATCATGATGCTGCCCTTGCCTCTGCACGCTGTGCTGCTCTCAGGAAGAGGGCCTTCCATTGGCCGAGTTGGACAGGAAGGGGGGGTTGTGGAAGCAACGCACTTACCCTAGCTTTAGATGGGTAGAAGGGTTCCGTACCATTTCTTCAAGAAGAGCCAAGAAAGTTGAAAAGTGCCCTATTGCGAGTGAGACATACCGCTGGACAGGGATGCACATGATGAGCGGCAGGCCAGAGAAGGGGAATGCATGACTCGCAAACGCAAACTTGAATGCTTTCTCGTTTTGGGGCTAGTCTATAGTAGGTAGTCTGAATCCATTAACTCCCAAGCCTTGGTTCTCCAGACAACAAGCCAAATCTTTATCAGACGCGGCATGTGTCTTAGAAAGGGTCTCAGGTTCCTCACCAGCCACTTCTGGGCCTGACTAGCTCATCATCACGCCTTTCTTGACTCAATCCCATACATCGACTGCAAATGGCAAATGCAGCCAGCAAATAGATCATATCTATGAAGTTGCATGGTCATCAAGCAACTGGCACACAGAATGCGCCGCCCTTTTCCAAACGCGCCTCCAACCAGCTAGCAACAAGAAGAAAGGACACTTGGACCCAGGTAAGCTGTGGGCTCCAGGCCTGACCCTAGCACCACCCGCCTCATCTGCCAAACTGCGTAGTCCAGCTTTGCGAAGAACTGAGAGAATCTCAGTTGCAACAACCACAGGTTCTGTGTCAGTTTTGCCACTCTGCAGGATCTTGCCGCTGATGTGTATTTGCGGCTACCACGCATCCAAAATTCTGCAGTCTGCTGCTTGTATATCATTGATCAAAAGAGCATTAAACACAAATTAACTACATAGCTGCACAGCATCCGCGTCCCTCCGAGAATGACCTTTAATCTTGCGCTTTTGGATCTGGACTACTGATACCCGTTGCCAGAAACCTTCTGGTCACCCATCCACCAGCTTCACGCCAGCCTTCCCCAACCTGGTTGCAACAACCTATACAAAGCGTAATGTGTTCGTGGTGCGCACCCTTCAACTGGCTAGGAAGGGTGAGTCATGTCGGGCGAAAGTATTATGATGCGTTAAACAAACAATGCGCTTTCAGGGTGAGCGACCAGCGGAGTGCAGTAAGGCTGCGGAGGCAGGGATGCGGCATTTCCCAGGAATCGGCTGATGTCCTAGTCACCAAAGGACAGCAGCGCTTTCTGAATTTAACTACAAGAAATTCTGTGGGTACAATGAAATTGCCTCCAAATGCCTTGTACTCATGTTGCCACTCCAGAACTCTGGCAAAAAAAAGGGTTCATCTGGTTGGCGCACCTTCGTATCATGAAGGTTAACAGAGCTCAACCAGCTGAACTTTACAGGAGTCTCTGCCTGAGACCGGGCGACTTGCGCCAGTCCACTAAGAACTACTGGGTGAGGACAGGCCACTTTAGAAATGCGAGGGCGTCTTCATCTGGGCTTTTGTCAGTCTCATCCCACCTCCGGCTGTGAGCTTGGCAGATCCTGGTAATGCACAAACCCTATTTCCAACATGGCTTTCAAATGTTCAGTGTCAATTATCCTGCCTGAAAGACCAAAGGAACCAACTTCAAACCATTGACCGCTTATCTAAGTCTTGACTAACTTACTGGTGGCTTAGTAGGGAATATAATACCCCCTATATAACATATTCCCCTGTTCCCTTCTGATCACCAGGAAGGAAACCAAATACAGGCCAGAATCCGCATCGTCCGGATCAACCAGGTCTGAGCATCGACACCGGTGGGGGGCCTACAGGGATGGCGATGTTTGTTTCACTGGTGGTTGTAGGGAAATGAATAAGGGTCAGAGAGGGTTATATAAGGATAATGGAAAATGGAAACTACTGTTTAGGGTTGGGGGTTAGCAGGGTATAAGGGAATACATTATCTAGGGGTTATAGTTATAGGGGATTGCATTCCCATATTCCCTACTACTAGCCATCAGTTAGCTGTTCCCACCAGCCTACGGCAACAGGCCTTCCAACCCGAGATGGCCAGGTACCAACATGAGCTGTAGTCTTAACCCCTAGTATCCCTCTTAACCCCTGTAGTCCCCCACAGAATCCCCTGCCTAACCCTTCAGAGGAGGTTAGACTATGGTTCACGCGATCATAAGCACGGTGAACAGTTGCCCAAGTTGGGTTCTTCTGGCTTACGTAGAAAGTGGTATTGAGGAGGATCATGTACATGCACCTAAAACAAGACCTACGGCATGCATAGGGGCTTGCGTACGTCGGCAAAGCACCTAATATTTGCGAAGATCCCCTAAATTCTACTTGCCTGATGAAGCGGATACCCTTGCAGAAACTATCTCACACAAATGCCATGGGAGTGGTAGACATGCCACCAAATTCTCAAGCAAATGTCTGAAAGTGAGTCTTTTCAGGAGAACTAGGTTGAGGTGAGGAAGAAGCAGAGAAATCAAGCTATTAATGGCACGTGGCAATGAACACAATTTCAGCGATGACGACTGCTGCCAGTCAGCAACATGGTGTGCAAGGGTTTAAGTCTCATGATGCAGGCTTGGTGATGGCAGGCAAGCGATAGGGTGGCAGGAATGTATTCTGCAGCTTAACAGCAACAAGCGACAGGCTGACAGAATCCAGAAGGACGGTACGCCGAAGCAACACATCTTCCACGTGCAAAATCATGAATGTTTCGTAGCACGTCCAAGATCATGAATGTTCCCAATTTTGCTTACTATGAGTCGTGGATGGCTCTCAGCAGTAGTACCATGCTTAGTGAGCCCCACACAACATATGCTACGCAGGCAGAAGACAAGGCCGGGATGTGCATTGTATAGCTAGTCATTGCCCATTCAACTTACAATGACAAGGAAAGAATGCCCGACCCCATGTTATCCCAAAACTTGCCTGAATGGGATGAAAAAAGTATCGCTTCTTGCAATCCAAGCAAAAAAATGTATCCCCAGGCCCCAATCTGCAGATTCTTGCAGGACACCTTGCCAGGTTCTGCTTCAAAGACCACTACCGGTGCCGCCTCAGCAGGTGCGGCGCAGGGTGCTGGCGCGCGGTTTGGTTTGATAACCTCCCCCCTTGGAGCTATTCCCCCTGATAGCTAATACTAATGATGTAGCTCTTGGTTGTGCCTTGTCTGTCACCGCCCTTTCTGCTACGAAGCAACTCCCACGAGAACCTGAAACTCTTCTACTGCTTGACGGAAGTGGGGTGGCAGTCATAAAGATCAAGTGAAATGACAACATCCCAGCCTCGCAGACTTGGGCCAACTTCTCACAGTCCCTGCTGGCACCTGAAGCTTTGAAGACAGTCCCGAGAGCAGCGATGCTCTCCAGGAAGTGCAGGGAGAGCTGCTGGTCAAAAAGCCCAGCACGTGGAGCGCAGAAGTTTGCCAGAAAGTTGGCCAAAGAAGGGCGCTGAACCTCGAACTCTCGCAGTAACTCACCTGCTGCCCCCTCCCAGCTTATCAAAAAGTCCGGAAAATGGGGACTCAGCGACTCGTCCCATGCATCGTTTGGGCTCATGATGGAAGCACTGGCAGGGATGAGCGGGACCGCAAACTTGCCGCCCACTGTCGGGAAGATGGGAAGCGACAAAGAACGTTCGGCCTCCTTCTTGTTTTCCCGGCGCAGCACCGAGCAAACGAGGCGCTGCAGTGGAAGAGCCCTCTCAACAGGCAACCTGGAGGGCGAAGTATCCTTTCTCTCGTTTGAAACACACCCTGATCAAAGTATGAATGAAATCTAAAAAAGTCGCAGTTTCAGATCCACTCGCCTGGCTACCTTTAGCCCCATGTGAAGACGAGCGCTGGGGCCACTTGCTGCCACAGCTGCAGGGGATCCAAGCTCACTCTCAATGGCATGGCAAAGTGCACGCACCACCGAAGCCCGGTCCAAGCCCACCGCGTTTCGAAGCTTCTTACCTGGCCTCAAAAGAGCTACGCCCAAGGACTCCAGGAGCCTCACTTCCTCAACTGAAAAGTCCTCAACAGCAGCCATGTGCTTGGCCTGTGCACAGCGTACACTGACAAGACGCAAATGCCCATTCACCCCGACATGGGGCGCAGTTGCTGCTTCCACCGGCACACAGGGGAAGTTGAGGAGTGCCTCCATGGAGCTCCCAGCATCTTGGTGGTCTTCCACCAGCTTCCACATGAGGCGACAGCGATGCACTAGCCTCTCCAACTCTTCCAGGGACACGAGTGGACAGGGTGGTGTTGCAACCTGTGGACAAGGTGGCAGTGCACGTGTTGCCTTGGCATTGCGGGCGAAGGTTATTGGAGCCTCTGTTGCCTCCTCTTCCTCATCGTGCCAGTCATCATAGTCCTCGTCATCCCACGTTTCTTCCATGACGGAATTCGACTTCCTGGTGTTTTGCAGTTTGCGGGCTTGCTGCTTCTTCTTGGGCAGGGCGCCGCGCTTAGGGGCTGCCTTACGCTGCGATGCCATGAACTCCTTCCGCAGCACATCTTGAGACCTCCCGTCCACCTCAATCTGTCTGCTGTCAGTAACAACAACCTGCCCGCTGAGCTGCCATGATGGTGGCAAAATGTTTGGCAGCAGCTTTGCCAAAGCCTTGCTGTTCAGCAAGCAGATGTTCAGGTGGGAGTTGGCCACCCTTGGTTTCAGCAGGGCAAAAGTACGGGAAGACGGATCCACGAATTCTTCGTCTGGAAGAAGCTCCTTCAACGGTCTTTTCTAAGGATCGGGAGTGGCTGCACAAGCAATATCCAGCGTGAGCAGCTGTGCAACGGCATGCCCTTGCCCTCTGAAAAACCAATGTCTCCTAAAGAAAAACATGTTGAATCAACACCATGGAATTAAAGCTTTTCATGGTGAGAATCTAGCAAATACTGCACTGTCTGATTGAATGTAATCATGGTTCGTACTTGTTGGTATCCTGCAGCAGCACCATGAAGAAGACAACAATCAGAGGACAAGCAGTAGTGACCGTGAATTGTGAATTTGATACTTCAGCGTTACGACACCAATCGTCCTGCATATTCGGGTCAGCTGACCAGAAGTACTCCTGCCCCTCCACGCGATGCAGAAATGTGCCCTTGCGGCCTGCTGTGAAGCCACAAATCATCATACGTCGTGTAAAGAGTGTTTGTTTTGGAGGACTGGTTGCGCAGAGTGTGGGTGTAGGCTGTTTGTCGTTGGTCCAAGGGTTCAAGGATACTCTTTGAACCAAGAATGCTCCTGCTGGCCCCCAACTTCAAAGAATGAAACGCAACTGCGCCCAAAGCTAACACATGACCCTTTGTCTTAATAAAGCCGCGGCCTGAAAGAAGCGGACACAGCCTGAGACCATGCAACAGCGCCCTGGGCAGCTTGTTTTGAAGCTTGTGGATTCGGAAAACAGGGGATGCGACGGTGGCGTAGAGAACCTTCTGAAAAACAACTTGAGCATCCCCTTCTGGCTATGGAGCACCTAGATACGCAACATGAAAAATTGCATGGTCGACACATGGCATGAACTAGAACCCAACCTAGGCCAAAGCCACAGGTTTGTGATCTCTTTCATTGTCGCTGCAAGACGAGATGCAGAGGTCCTGCCCCTTGAGGGGAAAGGAGATACTCCACGAGCGCGTCAGCTTCCGCAGTGGTCGCTTGCTTGGTGTCGAAGCCTCACACGGATGTCTGACTGCTGCGGGCTTGTCGTAACAAATTCTTGTTTCTTGTGACGGTTGCGGGCGGCTAAAAGCAACCAACACTGCATTGAAGGGTGTTTTGAGAAGCGGCCTTTCAGCATGTTAGCCAGGGACTGTGGCTGAAGCCACGTGGTTCCCTTGACCTCGGCAAGAGTGTCAGCTATTCTTGCCGGAGCCTGCACCACGGTCCGCTGCCGCCCCGTCAAGCAGAGTCTTCGGAGCGCTGCGCGCATTTCGTCCTTGAGACATGCGAAGTCATCATCCCGGCATAGCAGGGAAGACTTGGCCGTCTGGAAGTTCTGCTGGTCATCTAAAAACACAGCCGCCTCACGGCACACTAGCTCCTTGCTTACACACATGGGCAGAGCTGAGAAGTGGCCCTCAACTTCCCCTCCAGGCCAGAAATGCCACAGGCCATCTCTAAAACTGGGCAACTCTTGCTGCAGTTTGTCAGATATGGTATTCAGAGCAGGGAAGGGGAGCGTGTTCTCTTCGAGCTTCTGCATAACAACACCGCCAGCTAAGAGCTCCAACGCGTCGGCGTAGGCTCTCGGGCATGTAGTCTCTATTAGGGTCTCATTCCAAGCTGCTCTACATTGGCTCTCGCTGGCAACTCGGTCGTCACTGCGCCTCCACAAGTCACGCCGATTTGCAGTCAAGGCAAAGTTAGCAGATACGTGGACCGGCAATCCTGTAGCCAAGGACAGTGGAAGGAAGCAATAGGCTTGCCCTTTGAAGTCTTCTGGGGAGAGTGGCACAGCCACGGCTGCAATACGATGACTTGGCAGCTCATCCTCCGCGGGTCCAGAACCAACCTGTCAACTGCTCTGTCTTTATTACAGGCCTAGTGCCGTGGCCAGGGCTTGCTGCTGCATGTGATTGGCTCCGTATCTTAAATACCTATGCAAGCTTTTCACCCCAAGCTTCGCCGGCCTCCTTGCTCTCCACAGGCTCGCTTCGCAAGGCTAAGAGCCAAGCGTGCGAGCGGCGATTCATCCCACCCCTGGTCTCCAAAGAGTCCGTGACCACCTTTGTGGTTTCCACAATTTGTGGGTCCCCGGCCGTGGGTCTTTCAAGCACGACCTATGTTCAAAACTACCCGCCTCCATAAGCACGCCGAGCCTTCGAGCAACTCGTTTGGCATCCTTATCTGGTACTCAGCAGGCTACCTGAATGCCAAGCCTGCTAATTTTCCTGGGACCTGCTCGCAACCTATGCCCTACGCAGCATACAGAAGGGACACAAAGAGGAAGCCAGGCAGCCAAGATTCTTTTGCTAGCATTGTACGGAGCAGCAGCCGTTCCTTCCTCATGCGTTCCAAGGCGTAGAGCGAGGAAGTGCGGATCCAGGAGCGGCCTAGGCAGCACCAAGGCCCACCAAAGTTACGAACATGGACCTCAATCGTCTCGACACACTGCAGGAAAAGCAATAACTCACCAGCGTTGACGACGAGTGCCTTCAACACAGCCACGATATCTTCAAAGCTACGGGTTTGGTTCGAAATAAGGGACTTGGCTGCCAATTCTGGTGTCCTCAGTGGCAGCCGGAACATTGTCCCCAAACCAAGCTCTTGATCACCAGCAACCTCTGCAAACGGAGCAAGCTGCGCCCAGTATTTCTCCTTGACCTGCGGTGTTAGCCTCAACTGCAAGCCGGGCAGATTCGAAGGCAAATGCGCGCGATGCGGATCAAAGATGCAAAGGCGGTCCCGTGAGACGAACGAGACCACATCGGTTAAATGGTATGTGGAGTTGAATCCCAGCCCATACCGCCCGATTTTCGAGTGGTCAGACCTTTTGACCGAAGCACCCACTTGACAAATGCCATGGAAATCTGAATCTGTGAACTGCGCATCATTGCAGGCAACGACTGCAGGGCCTTGCCACGGCGCTAGGCGCGCATCCAGCAGTCCAGACTCAGATGTAGGATGTGCCGTGCCATCAGCATAAATTGCGAAACGGCGAGCACCTGCATCGTCGGCATTTTGAAGTAGCTCACGGAAAACACCTGGTCCAAAGGCATAGTCGTGCAAGATATTTCGCAGCCGGACAGTCAGATCCTCTCTCTGCGAAAACTCGACGAAAGGCGTCGTTTCGGCATCTTCCATGGTGCAGCACCCGTTGCTTGACACGGCTCTGGTCTCCCTGGCTGTAGTCTACAGTCATGCCATATATGAGGCTGACATCACACCACCTACTTGCAGCACCTGAAGGCAAACAAAGGACAGTATGCACTCAAACGCTGCGAACCGTATATGTAATTGTATTGTAGACATTTATATATATATATATATCTATATATGCCTATCTGTCTGGTCGCATGATGCAGTGATGCATCAGGTCCCAAGCAAGCAAGCAAACCACACTCAGCCAACACCTCACGTGCAACAGTCCAATAACCTCGCAAATGCCTTTCTAGAGTTCGGCGCAAGTTTTGGCTGAAACTCGTGAAACCATGTTATGTACACCGAAGGCCCCCAAATTTTTACTACGGCTTGGTGCTTGAGATCAATAGGTCGGCACTCGGAAGCCGACAATACGAAAAGTAGACTCCATTCCTGGCAAGCCTTCTGCCTCACTTTCAATGTCATGCTGTGGGCTCAGGTCCTCACGAAAGCACAGCATGCATGCAAGATCATGCAAACGCATAGACGTAATTGCATGTCCTCATCTGTTGTCGCAGACTCATCATCCGCAAGGTCAACTTCTTTCCGTCTCACGCCTTCGACAGGCAACGGCTGGCATGGGTCAAAATCACAAGTTTTGCAACCTCGTGGCAAGAGATCAGCCGTGTCCTGCGAGCTTGTGGCTTGAGGCTTGCGTCACAGATTGAATTTAACTGCTCAGGCCCAGCTGCTGCTGCTGGAAATTGCGAGCTCTGGTGAATATGTCTGTGCTTCTGTGTCTAATCTAATGGCCAGTGAACAGACCGCGGAGTATGAACATGGAGTGACAAGCCCAGTCCTGTTTCGTCGAGGCGAAGTGATTGTCCAGCAGATCGAGACCCTTGATTCGCTCGGCCTTAGAGAGACCTTGTTGACAGACAAGCTGCGTGAAATGCGGCCAGTCCAAAACTGACACTTCATGCGCACACCTTGATGTGCAGCCTCATCAACCTATGATATAAACTTTTCGGTAAAATCTGAATCTTTTGAAGTCCCGGCAATACCAGGTGCCGGGCCTACCTTATGCAATTTGATGGAAGTTGGGCGTTAGTCATCACTCTAGTAACGACAGGTCAGAACAGAACCAGAAATCACACTGTTGACAATGGTAGAATTCGGCGAAAGCTAAACACAGGCCCGAGACCGATAGTAAACAGGTACCATGAGGAAATGGCATTGTTGTTCTACGATGCTTCTCCTCCTATCAAAGCCTGCAGCACTTTCAAGAATAAGGACTATGAAAATTCGAACTGCTCCAGTTTTGACGTGGTTGAACATCCCACGACAAACCACAAGTCATGAGGAGGTCCACGTTTGAGTTGTCCAAAACCCCTACATTCCGAGCCTGAATCCTACATACGACTTCACTCATTGAAATGCGGGATCTTTTGCAGGCCAGGATAATGAACGCTTGGCACTTGGATCAGCAAAGGGCTTGGTTCTGGGCTATTGTTTTTAAGAGTCTGTCATGCCAATTGCACGTTGTGCATGCTGCTATGCACCATGGCATGATCTTTCTCTTGTCTTCCCTTGTGTTCCATTCGGGAAGCAAGCAAGCTGGTTTTTGCGCACGGGTTTTGTCCAAACAACGAACGGATCTCTGAACGTTTGTATTCTTTGTGAGGGATTCCCATAAAGAGCATTGCGAACATAACCCTCCCGTATCTCAGCGAGCCGCATTAACATTTACATGTTCTTCAACACATGCGCATGTTTGTTGTTGAGCAACAGCGTTCAAAAACTGAGTGCCATCACGACGGGCATTGGTGACTGGTTGGGTCCGTCAAATCAGTGCACTTATCTGCGCGCATGCTGCGTGAAGGACGCACAAATTAAGTTTTGAATGCGAACAACGGATGAGCTGTCCTTTACCTGAGCGGAGGATGTGACACTACTGAGGCGAGCTCCGTGCACTTCACCAATGTCCTGGGAAGCGCGGAGTCTAGAGCGACTTGAAGGCTGTCAAAAAAAACATGTTGCGTTTCATTGGTCGCACCAACCTGCTCCAAACATGGGGCGCGGAAGCGTCCAGAAGTCAGCTGTGCCAACCGCTGCAGGCCCCTGTCTCCAAGCTCACAAAAATTGGAAGAATTACAATGCATGTGCACTGCTTCAGAACCAGCCCTTCGCATCCTGTTCTTTGCTCCGCCCGGGATGCAATTGATGCCAACCTTATCACCGGATTAAAGGGTGGAACATTACAATTGAATGTACATGACTCACGTACGTGACTTTGCAAAAGGCACATAAACATGAGACGCGTTCTTTATTTTTGTTTTCCATGTGTTTTTGTTTCAGTTGGTGGCTCTGTTTTCTGTTTGTTATTGCATCGTATTGCCTTCCATTCTCGGTTTGTCTTCCTTCTTTGTTATTTGTTGCTCTTTGTTTTTTGTTTCCAACGCTTTGCTTATAATTTCTGCCTTTTGTTTTCTGTTTTGTTGGCGTGTCCTTGCCACCAGTACATGAGTGGTAATGCTGGAAAGGAGCGGGTTGCATTTCGATGTCAAAACCTACTCTTTGGCTTGCACTGTGGTTGCCATGAGCATCATTGCTCTTGTCATTACGGTCCCATTTATCGCCAGCATCATGTTCCTTACCAGAAATCTATCAATATCATGTGTTGTATTCCCACTAGTGTGACTCACTGTGTGTTGCTGCAAAAATACTACTGGTTTTATTGCTGTCACTGCTCTCATTGCTTGTCTGTGTGCAAAAACCACTGGTACCTTCACTATTGTTTCAATACCAATATGTCCTTATCACAGCTAACGTCTGAAAGGGTGACTGGGCAACAAAATAGGCATATTTCACCACCTGCAAAGCCACAGTTGCACTCCAACGTTTTCTCGTCTTACAGTCGTCAAAGCTTGACAGATCTCACAAATACTTCAATGTAAAATGGCTTCGCAAAAGTATTCCCGCTGCCTACTTGGCTAAAACAAAAGGGGATTTGAGCCAAATTACATTGTTGAGTTCAACATTGCTTGCACCTACAGCAACAGTACCCGGGCAAGGGTGAAGATACTACGCTTTCACACCCCCCACGTCGATTGGCTACTTGTTGCGTGAGACCAGTACCAGAAGCTCGGACTTTTACATCACACAACTCAGAAAGTGCAAAGTAGGATGCAATATTGTAAAGCGCCAGGGAAACTTTAGGACGCCATTGTGACACTTCACCATGCGCTCTCAGCGTGCGCTAAGGAAGACCCTGGAAGGCAAAAAAATATCCATAGCGCCCCAAAATGGCGATTGGGTTTGAGAGCATCGTATAGATCTTTGTCTCGATTTAAGCATCCATGGTGTTGAGGTCAACTTGGCGCATATAAATTCACTTTGTGCGCCTCATTGGTGATCTGCTGTAAGCCCGTGCGAAACAATGAGGTCGTGGCTGATTTGGCCCAGCATTGAACATTTTCTCGTTGCATTCAGTCACGGATCTGACCATTGATGATATTGGTAAATCTCTTCTTGTGAAGTTCACGGAACGCATGGCCATATCAGACGCCCATCTGCTCACTAATATACAGGTTCTCCGGATCGTACCTTTCCCATTTCTTCTGACTCTCACACAGTCCTTCAATGCCGCTTCTGCAAGCAGAAGACGCATACGGCGCTGATAAAGCTCCTTTGACCCTCTCCCTGATTCGGCCGAATCTTCCTGTATCCATCAGTATTGATTGCAATCAAGCGAGAAAGAAACTCATTGACGTTCAGTGTGGTGTATGCCCAAACATAGATGTCCCAAAAGTAGGTCTGTGTTCGGATCACTTCGTAGCAGCGGTCCAAATTCTCACAGAACGGGAGTTGGGAGTTCGATGGGTCATACTTGTGTTCGTCTGCATCCACGCTTCACGTGCTCTTTGATGTCGTACTCGGCCATCTCCGTGCACCCATTCAAAAGGAGAAAAAGTTATCCGCGTTTTTTTTAAGCTATCTGCGTCTTTTTGTTTGGTTATGTGTGTGTGTGTGTTTTTTTGCTATCTGCGTCTTTGTTAACGCGGTTTCCTGGCGCCTGCCACGATTCTTGGCGGTTCAGTGGGTTACCTGCGTCTGCTTTTTGGGGCTTATCTGCGTCTTTTTTCCGGTTGCCGCCTCCTTCAGAGTTATCTGGCAAAGCTTCTCCGAATTCTACGGATCGAAAATTATTCTATGTCCTTTTAATTTTCTTTTATATTGTTTTTTTTTTGTAGTTCTCTTTGTCCCAGGAATACTGCAACATGCAGCATTTGGAGCTCTAAGCTGAAAATATTGCAAATTACAAAATTTACGGCTCTTGTCAAGGCTACGAATACTGCAAATTGCAGCATTTGAAATTTTTGAAAGGCCTCCAACACTGCAAATTACAACATTTGCGCTCTTGAAAAGCTACCAATACTGCAAGTTGC